TATATTCATTTCTACACAAAAACAAATGTTGCACCTATGCTCAGCGTAGTCGATTACCTATAGTCCATGGCATTTTGAGATTCGCAGAGATGTCTTCTCGGAGATAGACACGTGCTCGGGGAAAGCGAGCCCTGCCCGAACGACGACAGCTGAAGAGCCGAGACTTGCATAATTTTGTAGAGTAACGTCCGGACTATCTACGAATGTAAAAAAGTTACTAACATTGAATGTGAGTTTTCTGAGAACGGAGCTGGTTTTCCAAAGATCCTCTAGAAACCCGATCTCTAGAATTTTTTCAAAAGTTGCTTCCGCTTGTAGACAGTTCTGCTCAAGTCTTGGCTATTGAACAGAGAAAATCGCAGGTCTCTGTCTTATTCCTATCAAAAGTTATTCAAAAAGTGGCTGACTGTCTTGTATTTTGGAACGCATAGTAGTCTGTCGGATTAACCAAGTATATTTGGTTGAAAGCAAAAGAATTTTACTAAAAATCTTAGCTTTTCCATGAGTTAAAAGGATTTTCAAAGGGTACACTGAGAAAACTAGACGATCGGACCGTTTCAACGATAATCCTTTTTCTTAAAGATTGTTCACATTTCTAAAGTATCTGAAAACTTGTAGGCTTGTTGAAAAACTAAATTTCTATTAACATTCTTTTGGCCTCTATTATATTTAATTTGATCAAATTTAGGTTTGATTGCGTTTAAAAGTAAGTTTTCGTATCAAACAGCTAAAAACTAAAGATGTGCAGTATGACGTGATACGACGGATACGGGTGCTGATCTAATACAAGTATGGAAAGGGTGTTTGCACATCTTTATTTAAAACTGATGAAAATATTATAATAATTTTCGATGTCTTTTGATCTTAAGCGCTCTAATATGTTTTTTACATATTTGCATAGCTTAATAATTGTATCTAAATGAGCATTGTTGATTAAGTCTATATTGATAGTCATAAAACAGGCAGATACTTTGTTTCGTACTTCTTGTATTTAAGAACAAAAGCTATATAATCATCCGTGGTTACTATATTTTGAAATGCATAGTAATTTTTTCGTGCAAACCAAATGAATATTGATTTATTAAGCAACCATATTAAGAACTAAATTCTATTTGAGAAACAGAATTTAGATCTTATCTTCTCACATGACTTGACGGTATAATATCACATTTTTACGGTATATTGAGAAGTTGAACTTAAATATTCACCTTTTCTCTTGAATTCACAAAAAAATGTTTCATTCTTTTATTCGTTGAAAACACGTACAAGTAGTTAAAAGTTTCAGTGGCTCACCTGAAAATATTTTTTGTTACCGTCAGTAAAATAGAAAAAAATGAGTTGAGTATAAGGGTAAGATTGTTCTGCACTGTATTTTACATCATAAAAAGAACTGAAAAACTTATGCATCTTACATTTCTTTTTAAGGACAATATATTACCTTTGGAATTAAAAACAAATTGTAAATAAGAGTATCTTGCTTTGTATATTGTTCTGTTAAAAATAGCTTTCCATCTCACAAGACTACAATTTATTCATGTAAAGTTTATACATGGAATTAATGGAGAATTCTTGTTCTACTTTGATTACTACGCCGATAAAAATACCAAAACCGACTCTGACTAGCATTTTGCCACTGCCATCTCAGACATTTGAAACAGATGAAAATTTTGAAGATCTGACAGTTGTCTGGCTTGACTCAAATATTAATAATGCAAACCATTGTTCAGACGCAGTTAATGGTCTACGTACAATCAATAATTATGTAAAAACATTTAATGATGCTGAAAACTGTACCAAATATATGTTGGCTATCGAATTAGAAAAAATTCTGTTCATTATTTCGGGAGGATTATGCGAAAGCGTCATACCCAACGTACACGACTTAACACAGGTCGTTTTTATCTATATTTTTTGCGAAAATAAAAGTAAACATGAAAAATGGACTAAAGTTAATAATTACTCAAAAATACGTGGAGTTTATGTGGATAAAAACGAACTTTTTGAAAAATTAACGCTTGATGCTGAAGTATTATCGAAAAATTTGATATTGTTAAGTATGTTTAATCAAAAAGCCAATTTAAACGAGAAAAGTCTACAAGATCTGGACAAACAAAAAGCCACATTCATGTGGCATCAATTGTTAATCGAAGTTTTACTTCATATGGAACATAAAGACAAGGCCAAACACGATATGATTAAAGAATGTTTGTCATACTATAATGAAAATAGTTCTGAGCAAAAAAAAATATTAGACTTTAAAGAGAATTATAATTCAAATTTAGCGATCAAATAGAGAATGTTCATATATTACCGAACATCAGCTAGCTCTAACAAACGTTAAAGTTAGGAAAAAGGCGTTGTAATAAACAAATGGTATATGGTATACACGTGACTGTTTTGCTTATCGTCTAATTAACAAAGCACTAAGAACAGAAAATATTGACATTATTTTCAAATTTCGATTTTTTATTACTGATATCTATCGTCAGTTATCAGAGTTACAATCAACGTTCATGCAGTCACAAGTAACAAAACAACTATTATCTGTTTATCGTGGACAATTTTTAGCCGTAGATGAATTAGATAAATTACGGAATAATATAGGCGGACTCATTTCTGTGAATACATTTTTTTCCACAACAACAGATTGTTCAGTGGCTATTGATTTTGCGGGCAGAGGCAATGGCCGTCCGGTTTTCGAATCAGTTTTTTTTGAAATTGAAATAGATTTAAATCTCAAAGGAAAACCATTTGCAAGAACTGGAAATTTGAGTTTTATGAATGATGAAAATGAAATATTATTTTGTATGGGCACAGTATTTCGTATTAAATCTGTGGAAAGATTTGACGAGAATATATGGTATGTAACATTATTTTTGAACACTGAAACTGATAGTGAACTAGACAGATTGATCAACTACTACAAGAAAGAGATTGGTGAATCGACTGATCTGATAACATTAGGAGTTTGCTTAATGCATATGGGCGATTACGAAAAAGCAAGTCGATATTTTCATTATATACTTGCTGAACTTCCACCTAATCATGAAGATATTCCTAGCGTCTATAGTAATATTGGGCTAATGTATAAAGAAACGGGTTATTACAGAGAAGCATTGCGACAATACGAGAAAGCGCTTGAGATTGAACAGAATACGTTGATATCATTACATCCAGATTTAGCGCTGACTTATAATAACATTGGCTCCCTTTACGATGCTATGGGCGATTACGAAAAAGCGTTAGAAAACTGTAATAAAGGACTGTATATACAACTTAGAGAGAAATTTAGTGATGGTTTAGTCTTAGCTACAATCTATGAAAACATCGGAGCGATTCACGATAGCAATGGAAATTACTCAGAAGCCTTAGTAAATTACAATGAATGTTTGGAGCTACGGCTAAAAGCTCTTCCGTCCAATCATCCTGAATTTTCTAACACTTATGAAAATATCGGCGTTACCTTAAGCAATCTGAAAAAGTATGACGAACCTTTGATGAATTTCCAGAAAGCATTGGATATTAAATTAATGTATCTACCACCCGATCATCCTTCATTTGTAGGCGTGTACAATAATATTGCAGCAACTCACGCGGATAATGGTCATTATATAACTGCTCTGATGTATTATAATAAAGCCCTCGAGGTTCAACTTAAGTGTATGCAACCGAACCATCCAGTACTTGCCACTCTATATTCAAATATAGGGCTTGTATACAGTAATTTAGGTGATAACCCAGAAGCTCTCAAAAATTACAATAGATCCTTAGAAATTAAGAAAGTTTCGCTGTCTGAAAATCATCCGTCGCTTGTCAACATTTATTTGAATCTAGCATCAGTTCATTCGCACAACGGCGACACTGGAGCGGCTCAGGAATTATACACCAAAGCACTCCATATACAACTGCAAGCTTTACCCGATAATCACCAGTCTCTGGCGATAGTTTATAATAACATGGGAGTGCTATACAGTCGTAGTGGCAAATATAAAGATGCTCTAGATGCATATAATAAAACACTCGAAATTTATTTGAAAACATTACCACCGAATCATGTCACTCTAGCCTGTTTATACAATAACATCGGATTGTTACATATGGATACGGATAATTATGAGAAAGCGCGAGAATATTTATACAAAACACTCGAGATTAAACTAACCTCTATGCCGATCGATCATCCGTCATTCGCAATCACGCACAATAATCTCGCTGCTGTCCAGCACTCATTGGGGAATTATGCAGAATCGTTCCTACATTACAATAAAGCACTTAAAATACAATCAGAAAGTTTGCCGCCAGCTCATTTAAAGTTGGCAACTACGTATAATAACTTGGCTTCATTATTCAGCGATACAGGAAGCCTCACTGAAGCGATGGAAAATTACAACAAGGCATTAAAAATGAGAATAATGTCTCTACCTCCAAATCATCTGCTAATTGCTTCGACCTACCGTAACATCGGTACGGTATTTGATGAAATGATGAAATATGACGAAGCTATTGAGATGTACGGGAAAGCATTAGAAATTCAGGAAAAAAACCTATCAACTCCGCAGACTGATCTTGCAATATCTTATAACAACATTGGTCTATCTTACGTAGGAAAAAAAGATTATGCGGAAGCACTCGAATATTTCAACAAATCAATCGATATCAATGGGCCTGAAACAGATCGAAATCTTTTAGCGAAAACGTTGCATAACATAGGTTCTGTGTATACTAAGCAAGAAAAGTTCACTGCAGCCTTAGCAAGTTTTCACAAAGCACTCGAAATAAAACAAGAAATTCTACCAGCAAGTCACACATCAATTGCTGGAACGTATAATGCTATCGGCTTGGTTTTTTTTGACCAAGCCGAATACAAAGAAGCATTGAAAAATTTTCAAATAGCATTTGAAATAGAATCAAAAACACTGTCGCCTGATGAGCACTGGCTGGAAATGTTAGAAATACAAATATCAGTGACTCAAGACCACATCAATAACAAAAAGTCTTCGTCTTCACAGAAAGAAACCATGAGTAATTTACCAGCAGACGATAACGAGCAGACGTCGTGTGAAGATTTAGTCTGACCTCACAAATGACTAAAAAGAGAAGGTTTCCAACTCTGAAATCGATTTTGTATTGAAAGTCATGTGCCTATAAGTAATCGTTAGTGCTGATTACGAATATCATAATGGCAAGGACCCAAACGACTTCTTTCTTGAGTTATGGTTGATTTACGTGTTCTATTTAGAAACGGAAAATGTACGCCGTGAACAAATTTGAACAGACAGAAAAGAAAAGATTAGTAGACTTCATTCTCGTCTTAATTAATAAGTAAAATGAGTAAGCGAATCTTAAATATTTTTACATAGATTGATAGCCCTGACTTTCCTCTACTCGGGAAACTGAAATTTAATTTTCCACGTTTAGAAATGGCTTCAAAAATTAGAAAAGAGTCAACATGAAATTTTTCGTATTTCAATTGTGTTCAACGACACTATTTTATGAAGTCGTTTTCCTTTCTCTTTTCTTTACAATTGCTAAATACGAGCGAATTATTTAAAGATTTTGCCGCTGAAATCAAAAAATTCTATTTTCACAAGGATGAAGCAAAATCTAAAAGAACTAAATGGGTACTGTTAAAGCTCGTGTTTCACTGGTTCTAACAAAGTAAGACACTTGGCTTTATCTCTCCACACAAAAACTAGATAGGTTTTCAAAGTTGCATACTAGCATACCCTAGCTGGGGTGTTCAATACAACCGTACAGGACAAACCTTTAACTGCAAAATCATTCAAATACCATGCTCATACTCAGTTCTCGACGGCGAATAAGAAAAACAATCATTTAGAAAACGTTCGCGCAACAAAAATGAAAGAGATTTGAATTTTTTCTGAAATGAGTCATTTTTTCCAATTTATAGGGCCTTCGAGTTTTTTCGACTTTTCTCACTAAAAGGATCCTCCGAAAACACTAAAAACTCCATATTTGTGATCAGCTCGTCAAACTCTATCCAACGATATATAAATAAAAACATAATAAAATTCACTCAATTTTTAAGACAGCTGATTTTTTCTTAGATGACCGATGGTGAGTCATTACTATGTATGATTCATTTTTTTCTACTCTATTTTTGCTTGAACGTGATTTATGTAACAACTACCGCCCTTTGAAAAACGTTGATTGATTCTTGGAATTATGTTGATAGATATCCTTCATTAAGGTATTCTGTTAAGACCCTTATAATATCTTATCAAGATTTGCATAAGATTGCGTAAGAATCTATGACTCATCGCTATAGTAGAAAATTTTGATGGATGGCATATTATATATCTCTAACATATTCTAGATGAAAAATAGTTGATTTAAACGAACAGGTATTTTCGAGTCTCACGATTTTATCAAGCGAGTAATAACATTTTTATGGGATATATAATATAGAATTATAGAATTTATAATATCAAATATAGAATTTATCCAAAGTTGATATAAGCTAATAAGCTTGTTGTTGAACATATTACCGTAAGTAGTTAAAAAATTAGAATTTATTATATCCATTAGCCACTCTACCCAAAATCAGAATCTTACGAAAATCTTATATAAATTTTTTTCAATACGTCACAGTTTTGTAAAGATTTTTTAAGTATAAAGCAAAGTATGCTTTTCTAACATCAGCAGTTGTATAATATCAAAAAGTGTACAAAGTTTTACGCATATAAATCACGTTTTTCTTTCATCAACTTATCGTCATCACCGTAACATCGGTATTGGAATTCAACATAAATTGAATCCATGAGACGGTTGCTTTAAGCAAAACGTGCATCTCGATATTAAGCCGATAGTTTCATTTGACTGATACTACGAAGGGAACTCTCAGGTATAGACCTTGCGTCATGTCTTGCAAAATTATACATATTGTAATCAGCGTGGATGAATGTTAAGACGGCGAGCGACGATGATCTCCTGTAGACGATTTATGGAAAGAACTGTTGTTTCTGATTTATGGAAATTCTGATACAAATTTTACTATTTTTACATACAAATAATTCTGTCAATTTTATGCTCATTTCGGATCATTTCTTTATATAAGAATTTTGTGCGATATCTATAGGAATTGTATAAAATTTCTATACAAATTCTACATATGACCCAGACAAATTAATTCAGTAATGAAATATCGGAGATGCCAACGCAGATTTATCCTCGCAATTGTCATCTGCTTTAAATTTGTCTTACTTCGATGAGAAATAAACTTTCTGTATATTTCATCGTGTTCTCTATACTT